TGGATGATGTTATAATGCACTTTTAAAAATCACTATTAGCTTTAAGGTTAGATCAGATGAGTGTCTTACAAATAACAGCTCCTATGCCTTGGAATGTTACATCTCAAATATTACAGCCTTTTGCTATCAAATAGCAATGATAACGGCACTTCTTCTGGCAACACTAACTATCAAATTCCATTAAAATTACTTAAAAAAAATAAGTACCACCACTAAAATCAATTTCCTGAGCAGTTAAAAAAAATCATGTAGCTTTTGACCAAAAACTTTCGACCAAATCAATAGCCTTGGCTTCCATTCAGAAATTAAAGATGCAATAGGTAGTGGCTGAAAAACAAAATTAAAAGCTGCCTGGTCCCAGTGGCACTGAAAGCAAATGCTCATCTGTCTTGATTTTGGATTTCTATAACAGAGGTATGATACACGTGTTGTTAAATCAGAATTTACCCTCTAAAGGAAAAGAATGTACAACTATGACTCTTTGTTCTTGCGGAAAACAAGCCAGGTCAGAATTGTTTGCAATGATGTCTTTTGTGGCACTGCCCTTATTAAGTGACAAACAGTGTGTTAGCTATAAGGAGACTGAACAAACAAGTGTGATGTAGATAGATTAAGGGGCATGAGAAATATGGGAAGAATTCAGTGTGATGACAAGCACACTTCTTCAGGTTCTAATCCCTTCTCTTTCCTCCTTTGCAGTGTCCCAAATAATCCTTATCTAAATATTTTATTCTGAAACTACGTTGTCTCTTATCTTTTTACACCATGTTTTTGTATTTGATCTTAATCTTCTTCTATTTAGCTTGTACCAGCCTCTGGCCTTCTCACATTCAGTGATTTTCTCTCTACAGAAATTTCCCATTAAAAACAGAAAAAAACCCACAAGTATTTCTGAGGGTAAGTAAGCATATAGGATCTAATGCTTTATGTGAGGGGAAAAAAGGGATGTTTCAGCATTAATTCATTTTCCTAAAAGTTAAAGACAAGTCAGACCATTTTAATTTTTTTTGCATAATGATATTTTCCATAGGATGAAAGCAGGCTGAAGGCAGCGCAGTGAAATTACACCCATTTACAATATTGCAATGCATCAGCTCTCCAGCCTGCTGTCTCAGGAGTGTGCCTCTAGCTCCCATAAACAGCTCTGGAGTTCTTTGGAGAAAACATTTGCTTTTTAATTTCACCACAAACTGGAAAGCCAACATCAGCTATAGTGTTGCTGAATTATTCCCCCCTCACAAAAGCAGCTGTGAAAAAACATTATCATTACAGACCTCAAACACACTTTTTTTTTGTTACAAATTCTCATTTAAGGTTGATGAGTATTAATTCTCATTATCCCAAAATACCACTAAATGTGCATTCAGTCATAAATTCCTCATATGACAATCAAGACTTCATATTTTCTATTGCCACTTGAGTTTCTTTTGGTGGAGAAGGAACTCCTTTTCAGAGCTGGATTCTGAACACTGGTGATGATGCACTATGCCTTTTTCCTGTGGTTTCCTCTCTCTGCTATATGATAATTGCCAAGAGAGCCAAAGCATCAAATCAGCTTCCTTTTCTCTCACATATTTCAGTGCAGAGTGTGGGATAAATAAATATAAACATTAAAAAAGAGACTTTTTCTTTAGCAACTCTGATCTTATCATGCTACACAAAAAATATGGACTTGGAATACAGTTCCACCGCCACAAAGCTGCAACTATAGAGCATGTTGCTCACCCTGGCTGCCACACCTAACAGCCAAAGCTCAAACAGACTTTAG